GTGCATTGGAAAATTGGACTGCGTGGATATCATAGTCGAGGGAGTAGACGAACAACGATAAGTTTTCGTTGATCATTCACGCGATCTAGGGTCATATCAAATAACTATAGCCAGATCTTCGTTGTTGGTAAGAAAATTTTAAAAATCCGTTGCGCGTGCGCTAAGTTCGTACGTCTAAAGTCCAATAGTTCGACCCTTTGATTTCATATTTGATTTGGCAGGAACATTATCATGGTGTAATATGTTCACATATCTTGTGTATTAACAAAAAAAAACCGGACCAGTTATTGAATTGTTGAAGCTATCGATTCAATGGTTCACTGGTCGAACCGGTCAAACCAGTTTAATTGAAATATAATTTTTATTTATTTTATATGTATAAATATAATATATAATTGAATATATTTTATATTATTAATTTTATTATAGAATAAAGTTTAAAGAATAAAAAAGAGACCAAAACTGCTTGCGCAACGTGGAATTTCATTTGTAAAACAAAAAGCAGCTAACGGAGTTTGGTTCTTAGATTTATTGAAATGCTTTTTTTATTTTTTTATTTTTTTTGGAAACAACGCTGAGTGCAATTTGTAAATCCAATGCAAGGCTTAGGAGCAATTTCATGTTAGCAACCCTCCAACATTGCTTAACAAGAGTGGAAAATCCATTGGGCCAGGACTGGTCTTGGCCCATAGACAAACATAACAGCCCATAGGCAAATATATAGAATTTTAATAGGCCAATTTACACGTATCCTACACGTTTTAAAAGTAATTGTAATCTTACGATTAATTGCAATTATTTAGCAAACCTACGAAAGAAAGGATTCTTATTTGTACTTATGCAATATTATCTATTACCAAACGTGGACCCAATCTGTTCCCTTTTTTAAGGAGCATTGAATAACCAAAGAAAAGAAAACATCGAAATAAATTATTACAATAAGCTATCGCGTAACAGAAGCTCGACGATTAAGTATGTAACATCTTTTCAAAATTTAAAACTTGAAAAAGCAGTGAGAATGAGTACGACGCCTGCCCTACTGTGATCGAGGTTTATCGTTGATTACAACTAATCCATATACGGTAGATAAAAATTTATTCATATAGTATATAATAAGTGTATGCGATTTATCATGATGGAAGCTGCAATAATTCACCATTAAGTTTATGCGTTTTTTGTTTTTTTTTTTTTTGGTTACAGATGGATTCTCCCATGATGATAATCATTCATCACAGTGGTGAGTGGAAGCAGAATGAATACATTAATTTTCAGGTGTCGAGTGATTTGGTTCAACAACAATGCTGCTACGACGAGTTGTGCAACGTTGTCATGGAAGAACTTGGAGTTACATCGACAGATTGTAGTTTGGAGTTGAAATACCAACTTAAATACAGATATCCACCGATGCGCATAAAAGACGATAAAAGTCTTAAATTCTACGTCGAGGCGAAGTCAAGGGAACAAGACTACACGAAGTACCCTGTATGTGTTGTAGTAAACTCTACATTTGAGGTGGCGAGGCCGGACGAGAGATCCACCACTTATGAAGAAAATGATTTGAACACATGTATAGCTCCTTTAAGGTACGCTGCTCTTGACAATTATGTTGAAAATCCGAAAGGGCCTATGAATTTTATGGCGTTTGCACGCAAAGTTGCTGAAGATATGGTAGTAGACGCCGCATATATTGAACATAAACTGGACATATACCTGCCTGATGATAATATTATTGCGATCGAGGATCAGTTGACCTCTGATTTGGTTGTGGGGGTTTCATTCAAGGATAAATCAATTTTGCAGAGGTTTTTAAGTGTCCATGCAATTAAGAATTAATATCAGTTCCGCGTTGAAAAGTCGTGTAATAAACAGTATTATGTGAAGTGTATGTCTGGCGATTGCACATGGTTTGTTAAAGCATATGATGTTGGTCATTCTAGCACCTTCAAGATAAGAGAGCTCGGTACCAAACATAAATGTTCATTTGATGTTCGAGCAAGTGGTCAGAGGCAAGCTACTTCGAATGTTGTTTGCAACCTTATCAAGTCGAAGTTCATGAACAATAAGACTTCATATACGGCTGCGGACATCATAGATGACATGCAAATCAGATACGGTATAAACTTGTCGTATCACAAGGCATGGAGATCAAAGTGGAAAGCTATTGATGAGGTTCGGGGAAATGCTAGTGATTCTTATGATTGTGTTCAAAAATATCTTGAGAAGTTACGTGCAGCAAATCCAGTAAGTTTACTAAAGTTGTGTGCAACTCTGGATCAGAATTTTTTGTACATGTTCATGTCTCTTAATGCATCTGCCAAAGGATGGAAGTATTGTCGTCCGATTGTTGTTGTGGATGGGACATTTCTAGCATCGTCGTATGGAGGAATTTTGTTAACAACATGCTGTCAAGATGCGAATTTTCACATTCTACCACTTGCATTTTTTGTTGTTGATTCGAAAAACAATCAGTCATACTTGTGGTTTTTCAACAAATTACAAACACTGATTGGTGATAGAGATGGGTTATGCATCGTTTCTAATGGACACGAGAGTACAAAGAATGCTGTAGAAAAGGTAAACATAATTTTATATTACGTATATATCTCGTTTATTTTTGGTAAATTGGTTGTGTATAGTACGTATATGTGATAAATATATATCTCGTTTATGGTGCTTAGCTTGCGATAAATATAAATTATGGTAAGTTTAAAACAGAAATTTTATGGTATCCATATGTGAAATTATATGTCTCATGCATGGTAAGTATATGGACAGTATATGGAAAGTAGTTGTTTATGGACAGTAGGTGTTTGTATGGACAGGTGTTGGACAATATATGAAAAGTATATACAATTTGTTTTATGGCATGTTATGTACAATATATGTAAATTTTAAAGGCATGTTAATTTGGTATATAGACAGCTTATGAGAGAATTTAACATCATTTTATATACAGTTTATTTATAGTATATGTACAACATTATATATGCCATCTGAGTGTTGATTTTATTATAATGTTATCTTTCTATAGGTATTTCCGAACGCAGCACACTGCCTTTGCACGTATCATATATCAAACAACATTAAGAAACATTATAAAAAGGAAGCGCAAGCGGTAAAAGATTCATTTCACGCAGCAGCAAGGGCCTATACAGTTGAGGAGTATGATATGCATATGTCTGAGATAGAAAAGCTGAATCCGGAGGTAATAACGTATCTGGAACAAAATGGAGTACAAAAGTGGGCAAGAATTCATTGTCCAAAGAATAGGTACTTCACAATGACATCTAATGCTGCTGAAACAGTTAATTCAGTGACAAAGTCAGTTCGTGATCTTCCAATAACAACATTGTTAGAGGCGTTAAGAGAAATGCCACAGAAGTGGAATGTTGCCAACAGAGAAGAGGCGAAGGCAACATTTACTACACTTGCTAAAAATCCCCATAACATGTTGGAAAATAATTATAAGGCACCATCGAGGTTTTCGGTAAGACATATATCATATACATATACTATTTATTTACGTTATATATATTGTTTAAAAAATATTTTTATTTTTATTTTTATATTTTTTTGTGTGTTTACCGTAGGTTCAGAAGGCAAATGAAAAGATCTTCAAGATGATAGCTGATGGAAAGTGCATATATAGTGGATATAGATACGAAGACATGCACTTGCAACCGATTCCAAATAGATGAACTCCCATGCCCACATGCTATACGCGTTATAAAGTCTCTGCACTTGGATCCAATACCTTTTTGTTCAGTGCACTACCTAACATCAACTATGTTGGCTACGTATGATGAAGCGGTCATACCTGTTGAAGGAAACTCGTATGTTACTAATGATGTGCACTCAACGCAACGGCGAATAAATCCTCCAGATGCTAAAGTTAGGCCAGGACGGCCACGAAAGCAAAGATTCAAGTCGGGATGGGAGCACAAGTCGAAGAACAGATGCGGCAGATGTAATGAGAAAGGTCATAATGTGAAAACTTGTAGGAATCCATTCAAGTAAAATCCTATGGAGGTATCTAGGAATTTGTCAGATTGTAATCCCATCCTCATGTAGATAATTAGTTAATTAAATATTAGATTTCTTAATATTTAATTAACTAGTTTTTCATATCAAAGTTTAAATGCAGTATTAATTATATATTATATATATATATATATATTATATAACGTGGAAGCAGTTATCAAGAACATGTCTTGTAACAATTTCAAATCAAAAGAAATGTTGAGCTACATCTATTTATTATATTCATATAAACTAAACATAAACAGATCAAAATATAATTCATAACAGCATACATCCTATAAGGTATATAAATATGTTCTATTATAAAATGATGGATGTTATATTATAATAATCTCAAGTATCTGTTATGAATTGTGAAACATGATATGATATAAAAATATCAAGTATTTGTACAATTATGCTCAGCATAATCATGAAATAAACTATACAATTGCACTGGACAAATGTTTGGTGTGTAATCTACATTTACGTGTTATTGACTACATATACGTTTTATTTTCAAGATGTTAAGAAAAAACAAAAGTTTTATTAACTACATATACGTTTGATGTAAGAAAATATACATAAACCACATCATTAAGTGAAGTAATTAAAATTTAATCAAAATCATATTTTAAATAGATGGTACATATACCTCTAATACTGTCATACGAGGAAAAAAAAGAAATGAAAAATTGCTGCAGCAAATAATAAACAAATAATGTAAACAACATCAATCAAGAAAAATGTCGTCCAAAAGTCACAAAATACCATCAATTAAACATACCTACAAAGCAAAAGTAAATATTTTGTTTCATGTTCAAGGTAATAGAGGATGGAATGTGTCTGCCAATGCTCCAAAAAAAAAAAAAAAA